CAGTGTTCAAGACGGTTTTCTGGGCCATGACCCCTGCAAATAACAAGAATTAACTGTATTTTAAAAAATATTTCTCTGTTATTTTATATCATTTTCCTCAGCCTTCAAAAGCACAAAGAGAAAAACTCACCCATAACAATTATCAGTGTGTGTGTGTGTAAGAGGTTGGGTTGAGAGAGTAAAAAAGCAAGACGGGGAGAGAGTCCTGCTCTCAGAGATCACCCTTGACATTTACTCACAAGTTAAAAATGCGGTCAAAGGCATCATCAAGGGGGTTGGAGAAAGCCCCGGGGCAAAAGTGGAATAAGGGTGAGGACCTTGAGATCAGGCCTGGATGAAATCAGAAGTGGTGCGTTGCTGTATGCGAGTGTGGGTTTTAGCATCAGATGAGCCTGTTTTTAAATCACAATTCTGTGAGAACTTGGGCAAGTAACTTCACTCTCTGTGACTCTGTGTCGTCATGATCCCAGGGGCTGAGAACACTGACATTTTCTCCCTTCATTTGTGGAAAAGGGTTGAAGAAGATCATGTAGGTCAAGTAGCTGGCTTTCTTTATTTTAAAAAATTAAATGTCACCATAGTGAGCTTTTAACATTACCGTGAAATAGCTACAAGAATAATAGTTAAAGAATTATTAAATAATTTGCTAAATGAAATTTTGATTATAAAATTATCACTTGATAAATTGCAAAACACATTTTTGTATCAGGCTGATGTGTCAATCCTTCCACAGAAGGTATTATTTATAGTTCAGGCAATTATAGAGTTCACGGTTGAGAATATTGAAGTTTTTATATAGAGGCTACAAGCCCCAAATCCGCGTAACCACCAGCAATGGACATGCTACAAATGGAGAGTAAGTAATAACTTTTGTGCTTTGTTCTTTGTTTACAATTTCCAAATACAAAAGCATATGCTATCCTAATTCCTAGGGTATCATCCTGCTTTAAACAGTTCTATTTGCAAGAAAAGCAGAATCAAAGGAAAAGGAAAGGATGTTTGGTTTGTGTCACAACAAACATACTGCTGAGGGCCATTGCCAAGTAGGAATGACGCATTGAAATTTCCTTGCCAGCGTACCCCATATTAAATGGACTTGCCTTGGACATTGCATGTGTCTTTGAGAAAGGTGACCCTGCTCAAGGACCAGGGTGGATTCAGGATTAGGGTGTATCCTGCAGGTTTTAGGAAGTATCCCGTCCTTGGGTTTAAGGCGTTCCGGTTTAAAACAAATTTAGGGCGCTCCCGGTTTAAGATAATCCGGGTTTAGGGAAGTTACAGGTTGAAGGTTATTCCTGCTGGGAGTAGGGCGTGCCTGCTGCCTGAGTTCCCCCTGAGTCTCGAGGAGAGAAAGTTTTGGGACATGAATTGTGCGGGAGATTTTGGATTTCCCCAGAACGTGTGTAGAGGCTGGTGTGAGTTTGGGATAAAAGAATTGCTGTTTTGTAAGGGTCTGGCGAAACGTCGGAGGGAGAGACCATCCAAGAGACTGACTCCATGCAATTGGCAAAAGGGGATATTTATTGGGGATCCATTTCAGCGCGCTGGGGCTCCGTGCTTACTCAAGAAGGGAGAGCAGCCCAGAGCCCAGAGCCAAGGTCAAGCAGAGCTTAAGTACACTTTTTGGAGAGGGCGGTGGGCTTTGCATACATCAGAACAAATCATCATGAGGCGAGGGAAAGTTAAACAACAACTCTGAGACGTGATTGGCACATTCTGGCGGGGGTGATTGGTCATTCGTAAGCGGGTTACACATTCAAACTGATTGGTTCGGGCCCTGTGACGAACTGCACAGGGCCCTAGGCTAAATGGCCAGTAGGGCGTTGTCTTAACTATCTCAGGAATTTCAGGTTCTGGGTGTAACAGAGGAACTTAATAATACCTAATCTTTTACATTCAAGCTTTCCACCTTAGAAACTTTACCCTTTCAGTTTGAACCTACAAAGCTGTGTGGTGGCTCGTGATCTTGTGCCCAGCCAAGACATTGGCAATATACCAACGAATTCTTTCAAATACTATTAAAAACGCTATTGAAAAATGCCATTGGAAAGAGAAGGTGCACATTCTGAACACTAGATTGGCTGCTTTCCAGAGAAAATGGAACACAAAGCATTCTTTCCCTAACTAATTTCCCCTCTGTGACATTCCGCATATGGGATCATGTCACTAGGGGTTATCTCATTTCATCCTGATGACTATACAATGAAGATCTTAGTATTTCCCCACTGCGTAAATGACGGACCTGAAGCTCTGAGGTCAAGTAATTTACTCCAAGTTATAAAGCTGTTGGTGACAGAGTTAGATTGAAACCCAACCAGTCAGACTCCAGAACCAAGTCAGAACTGCACCCCCTTTTAAAATATTAGACAAACAGAAGAAGATATACATTAGTTAGTGGACTTGAAAGAGGTGTCATTAGACCATCCCTTAATAGTGCACACATCACTTCAAAATGATGAGGTAGCAAGATCCTTTTGTACAAACCATTATTTAAAACTCTATTGAAGCCAGGTACGGTGATATATGCCTGTATTCCCAGGGACTCAGGAGGCTGAAGCAGGAAGAATATGAATCAGAGGCCAACCTCAGAAACTTAGTGAGACTCTGTCTCAAAATAAAAAAATAAAAAGGGCTCAGGATAGTAGAGGATACCTGGATTCAATCCCCAGTACTGAATTTTTTTAATTGCACTGAAAACATTTGGGGAACTATAAGTTGACCAAGTGCATGGGGAATATCTGGGTCTAGGTCAATGAGGGGAGCAAAGGTGAGTTCTAAGGTTTGTTCTTTGTCAGAGGCCACCGGCAGGCAGCCTCCCCAATATCCATTCTCTCCTTTGTCACTAACAGCACACCAGTTTTGAGGTAGAAATCATACAACCAAAAAAGACTGGATTTCCCAGCTTTCTTGGCAACTGGCTGTTGAGAGCCACAGCCGAAGGGGCCCCAGCAAACTTCCAGCTGATTGGCTCATCGTGGCCCCAGCAAACTTCCAGCTGCCAGCTGATTGGCTCCTCTGCGGTGATGCTCACTGAGCTGTTTCCCCGCCCTTTCAGACCACGGAGCTGCTCATTGGGGGACTCTTTTGGCTCCGCCCACACGACCCAGCCAATCGGCCTCAAGAGCAGGAGGAGTGGGGGGTTGAGAGGCTCATGAGAAGCCAGTGGTGGCAGTTGGGCTCTAAGGGAATTCCTGAAGAGCTCGTGTGGTGCAGCGTGTGTTCTAAAAATAAAGTTCGTTTCTGCTTGATAAGTGGCTCCTGAATTGTGCCCAGCCAGACTGCAGCAACTGGCAGTGACCATAAAGTATAAGCAGGCATGTTTGGTTGTGTTCTTCAAGGGGACCGGTTCAGTGGGGCACATAATTTCTTAACCCTCTCTTCTATGTCCTTTCTGAAACATGAATGTAATACTTGGAGCTTCAGCAGAAATCAGGGAACTTTGACAATGGAGACCAGGAGCTGTTCAAGGAAAAAAAATATTTTAACACTTGTTAAAATAATAAGGAAGACTTTATTCAAAACTATTGCAGTAGGAGAGAGAGAACTGACTGAACTCCAATACAGTAGGACCAATGGGAATTGAAGCCAGGAACAGGAGGAAAGATCCATGGATAGAAAACCACTAACACAAGAGTCTTGCTAAATGGGCCTACTAAGACTGAGGCTTGGAAGGTGGAGTGAGAACTTGATCAGATATCAAGGGATTCTCTGTAAACTGACTAGCAAGTTTCTTGCCAAGACTGGTATGAGCAGCCCAAAGACAAAATGGGGGCCCAGATTGAGGACGAGTCAAAAAGAGGGCTCAGAGAAGCCTGCCTAGAATTTGGTCCAAAGAGGGAGTTGTTTGTTAGACTAAGGAAGAGGAAAGATCTCTGATGATACCATAGACTAACAGGTAGAAATCCTGTACTCATGACCTCCACCGTTGGTTGGTTTGTATATGGGAGAGCAAAGTCCAATCCCAAGGTGGTTTTGGAAAAAAGAGTAGTCTCTGATACTCAGCCAAATATAGTTCCTGTGACTACATCCCTGCACCTTTATCCCATGATAACATGGGTTCAGTTTTATCATACCATAAACTATTCCTTTATTGCCTACAACCAATTTTGATGTCATAGATGGTCCACAGTGCCCTGTAGGGTTGGCCAAAGCCTTGTCACCCTGCATCACTGTTTACCTTCCTCTGTCCCATCCCTCTTTCTGCCCCTGTCTTCTAGAGGTATTGATCTCTAATAAGCACCCTGTTCTCCAAAGTCCACCCCAGCATCTGCCACAGGAAACTCCACCTTTCTGATCTCTTTCCTGGTTTTATGTGGAAAGATGGGAAGATACACAGCACTGAGGGCAAACCTCTGGAATCCTGGGTCTTTATATCATTGAAAGGCAGATAACCATTCCTTTAGAGAGTAATTGTGTGAACTACAATGAGTTGGTGCAGGTAAAGTGTCTGGCATATATGGTGGTATTTGTTAATAATAATAATAATATTGATTCCCTTGGCAACGAAGTGTCATGGTCTATTCTGGTTCATATATATATTACATATATATAATTTTTTAAAAAGCACCTACATATCAAATGCTTATTAAGCAGCAAACACTAGGATTTAAATGAATTTTCTCATTTAATCTTCTTGGGAACCCTATAAAGTGGTTGTCATTGTTAACTCTATTTTACAGGTGAGAAAATAGAAACTCATAGAGGTCACGTAATTGCCCAAGGCAGCTAGGAGGTAATGGAATCTAGATTCAGATCTGGGTCTCCCCGTGTCCAGAAGCCAAAGGCTCCGACTTACTTTGCTGCACAGCCTTCTGTCCTGTGGCTCTTGTGGCTCTTTCAATACCATGAATACCTGAGTAGAATAAGTAACAGAAGCTAAAATAGCAACCCATAGCTTAGTGCTAGTCGCTGGAAGGCCTCAGGGAGACTAAATATGGTCATAGTAATTACTTGCATTGATATGTTAAAAAATTTTTTTTTTCTTTTTCCTGGTTGTGAAGAGATAACCCTGCTCTTCACATAAAGTGGGAAGAATTTCAACCTACGGTGAGGGTCCTTCACAGAGGGAGGAAATGAAGAGGTTGGAGAGAAAAGCTGTGAAAGAAGCTGAGTGGAGCCCTTGCAAGATGGCAGGAAAGCAGAATCCAGGAGTGGATGGTGAGCAGCAAGGTACAGGTTGGGGGACTGAGGGGTCCTAAGAACAGGGATGCCTCATATCAGGTATTTACTGACCTGTGGTCCTGGTCCCTAGGGTCCCCTAACTCCAGATCCATGCTCACCATCAAGATGCAGGAGAAAAGTCTTCACACAAATCTGCAGGGCATTTGGGGAAAAGCAGAGAAAGGAGGTTGAATTCAATGTTTGGGTGGATACAAGGGAGAAAGAAGGAAGCAGCCACAAGAGACCAGCAACTCAGAGGCTGAGACAGGGGGAATCACAAGTTCAAGGCCAGCCTCAGCAACTTAATAAGACCCTAAGCAACTTAGTGAGACCCTGTCTCAAAATTAAAAGTAAAAATGGGCTGTGGATGTGGCTCAGTAGTAAAGCACCCCTGGATTGAATAAGCAGTCCCCTCCCCCCCCCAAAAAAAACAAACAAATAAATAGAGACAAAAATTCAGTCTACAAATTGAAAAAAGCAGAAGATCCAAGTGAGTGAGAGATAGGAGACAAGATATGTCTTTCAAGAATCACCCTGAGATAGGATTTGGAAATAAAGAGAGAGATGTACTGAATCTCAACAAAAGCACCCACAAACCACCAAAATATAGGAAAAGCCGGTGAACCACTGAAATACAGAGGGCAGCATAATCAATTGCCAAGTCCTGAGCAACCTAGCTCTGTGCTCTTGGCCAACACCCTTGACCATGCATGTCTGCAAGAAGGAACATGAGGGCAAGGTCCAAGCGCAGGGGAAACTGGCTGGAAGTTGCCCGACTCCACCTCTAGTCCAGCCCCTAGCAACCATCCGTCCATAAATACCAACACCCCACACCCATTGGGTTGCTACTGCTCACTCTCAAGCTAGCCCACATCTCCCTTGACCGTGCCTCTGCTTTCCTAAATAAACCTCTGTCTGTGCCTCTGACTGGTACATGCTGAAATTCTTTTCTGTCGTGTATGCCAAAAACACTGCTAGCCCTGAGTCAACTTCCTCCTTCTCTCCGAGTACTCCTCTGGACACTTTTTTGGACATATTTCTTCTGTGACACCTTCAAATAAGGGGAGGCCAGGATATTGGAGAACATGAAACATCCTGGTGGTGCTGGCTCAGATTGATTGGAGACAGCTGGGTGGCCTCTGCTTGATGTCTACTGTCCCTGCACTAGCAGAGCCTGGACGCCTGCAGAGCCAGGACCTCTTCCCACTAAATCTCTTAACCTACTAATCACATGACCCACCCTGGGACACGTGAGTGTGTGTGTATAAAAAAATAGGAGAAAGGGAGGAGAATCTTCTAGAACTGGGGCTGGTGCTTCCTCCCCCTGTTCTTAGGCTCCAGCTTTTAAAGTCTCCCAGTGCCTTTGAAAAGAGAGAGGGGAGATCCTTAGAAAGGGCTGCTGAGGGCTGGAGGGAGTCATGCATATGAATGGGCTCTGCCAGGACCTAACCTTTTCCCTCCTCCAACTGCAGTAAAAATAAAGGCTCCTGACATCAATACTTAATGAGATTAAGCTCTGCATGCTAATGAAAACCTCTGCAGAGGAGCCACCTGGAGGGAGAAAAGCAAGGGGCAAGTGGTTAACTGTTAACCAGTGAGACCACATCCCACAAAAGGCCTTGCAAAGCCCCACAAGGAGGCCCTCACAGCCCTGCCTAGAAGCAAACCTACTCAATGATTCTGTTCTGCTAGGGGCAGGGGTGTGGGGAAAAAGGCTTGACCTTCTTGGGCTACCCCTTCTGTTAAGGCAGAACCTCTCCCCTGGTTGCCTGGCTCTGTAGTGACAGGGGTGGGGGAGAGGAAAAGCAGCTGTGATGGGCTCCTCGCTCACAATAAACACTAACCTAATCCATCTTTTACCTTTGTTTTCCAAAGTATAGAAGGCATCAGTCTATAATGGAAAGGCAAGACAAGCTTGGGTCCAAAGCCTGACCCCCAACATCTACCAGGTGAGCAACCTCTTGATGCCTGTCTCCTCCCTGTCCTGTGCTCACAGGAGAGTTCTAAAGAAGAAAGAGCATCACCAATGGAACAGAGAAGGTTCCTAGCAGATGGTAGATTACATTGCCTCTTCAAGAACTTAAAGACGTTCACAATTTCCCCTTTCCCTAAGTCAACTAGGAAAGGGTTACTGGAGGCTCATGATGAGATATGCAGGAAGATAAATATTTGCAAGCATCTCCCATGAATCAGATAAGGAAGGGCTTTCCTAAAACCCAAACAGCAAATTTATGGGAGATCTAAACAAAGAGCTGCCTCCTAGCCCCAACTTACAGATGCTGATTTTCTCAGTTTCAGAGCAGAAAGTGCCAAAGATTTACATGGTAATGTCTTCATCAGCATTTTCCAGAGAACCAAAAGGAGATAGATGACAGTGTTACCATCTGGAGGTGACCAAGATGACCTCATTAGAAGACATCTCCCTCGATAATAGATAGATGATTGACAGATAAGTGGTAGATAGCTAGATAGAGAAGAAAGGATTTATTTTGGGGGAATTAGCTCATGTAATCATGGGGAAGCTGAAGGAGTCCCACGATATTCTAGCTGCAAGCTGATGGTGTAGTTCAGTTCAGTTCAGTTCAAAGGCCTGAAAACCGGGGAAACTAGTAGCGTCTGTAAGTCTCAGCCCAAGACCAAAGGTCTGAGAACTGGGGAGCACTGATTGTGAGTTCTAGAGTCTGAAAGTCCCACGAGTTCTGATACCCAAGACAGGAGAAGATTGGCTTCTCAGTTCCAGGAGAGAAAGTAAATTCACCTTTCCTCTGCCCACTGATTCTATCCAAGCCTTTGCATGAGGGTAGAGCCTTCCTATTTAATATACTGATTCCAATGCCAATCTCTTCTGGAAACACCCTTCATTCCCAGGAATAATACTTTCTAGCTATCTGGGCATCCCTTAGTTCAGTCAAGTTAACACCTAGAATCTACCATCACTGTGATTTATGGATGCTAGAATGAAGTCCAGTCTCCTGAGCCTGGTTTCACTCCACCACTGATAAGCCTGGAGCAAAACTGGCCAAAAGAGGGTGTCCATCTCTTTGTGTTGGTTTTACTGTCTAGAATAGAGTGTTCTCTTCCTTGCACCATTATCTCCTAGAAAGCAAAAGTTTTTTACTGCTAGGGGAGAGACACAGATCCCTCCAAGGCACTGATAAAAATCTGCTGCATTAGGAGGATGGTTAGAAGAAAAACTCTACCCCTCCCTGTAGGCCTAGGGGAAAAGCAGCTATCATGCTGGAGAATATCTCTCAACCCTGGGAAGCTGCTTGGGCTTGGGCATGAGGGGAGAGGTGCTCAGCCAACGACCAGCATCATCTTGCCAGCTGTGTAAGTGGAGTCCTGTCTTTCAGGCCCCGCCAAGCATTCAGTTGGCTATAAACCCAGCTTGATAGGTAACAAACCAATGTGATCAGTAGGAACATGAGTTTGGGGGGCGGATAACTCTATAAACTGGGCTTACTGTGCTGAACACTCTTTATTTTAAAAAGCAGTTTACGGAAGGCCACTCTGTCCTGCGCTGACTTACATCAATAGGATATATAACATTCCACAGCAAACAAACCCTTGTCTGCAAGAGGGAAAAAGACAGGGTCCCCAAAACTACTCCCTGCTGATAAGAAGAGTACAGGGAGACTTTTGACCTTTACACAGACCAAAGATTCCAGGACTCATGAGGAATAAAGTCCACCAACCATAAAATGTAATAACAATTCATAGGCCAAAGTGACCCAGAGCTGCCTTTGGATCAATAACATGTCATTATAATAGTAAAATTCCCTCGCCGTGGATTTTGCTTGTGTGTTTGCGAGTAAAATAGTAAAATCAAAAGTCAAGAGGTGAACCTGGTGGAACTCTC